TTTTACGGGAAAATGTGAAATCTCGACGGATTTGTTTTGTACTCACATGTAATATTAGGTTTTGCGGGCTTCTGAGTTCAAAAATGATGACTAAATCAGCTAAAAAGCAAGCGTTTAGAAACGTACCTATGCAGAAGTTGGTTTGCCAGTACTTAATCCATTTTTAACACCTAGGCTACTCTATTGACATTGGTTGTTTATTTCATGGATTTGGCACTTGAGGTAGCTGATAAGCTGTGTCGAAAACGTGCACAAAACGACCATTCTGTGCACGTTTTCGACACGGATTAAAAACCAGTTGTAAGCACAAATTTTCATATGAATTGTCATCAGTGTCAAATTACCTAGACTGCTGAAAAAAGTGAGATACTCTAAAAAGCCTGGTGATTCCATGAGATTGAGGTATGCCAGAGTTAATGTCAAGAAGTTTTATGTTTGCTTGTCAATTTAATAGTTGATCTATAGGGGGCAATTTAAATGGGCTAGCCATTCTACTAACCACCTCATGCCACTGCCCTGAGAGTTTCCACCCTTTCTTTTTTCTGTACATTCAAGCTGATGTTTTTAATTTGCAAAATCAAACACATGCTGTTTATCCCAATCAGACCTAACTGATAACTGGAGTTGCTCATCAGAGAAATAAACATTGACAAAGCAAATAAACCAATGCATGTACAGAGATGTTTTATAATGCCTGCTGCCCCCTGTGGTTGATCAAGGAAAGCAATACACTGTAGGACCACCTAGCAAAATGGAAGTAACTCAATATTTGACCACCTAGCTCATCAAGAATGTATGTAATTTATTGTTGACTGAAAAAATGAATACCTTTTTGGCTTTACCCTTCTCTTCATAGTATGCCAATACAGGTTCGGATAGTTTATGGTACGTTTCTAATCGTTTTTTAATTATTTCAGGATTGTCATCAGAACGTCCACTAGTGTCTGCTCGTTTCAATAGTCTCTCTGTCATGGTTTCATCTGTGACATCAAAGTATAATGCAAATTGGCATTCTGTAATCTGTAGATAGAGAGAGACAGAGAGATAACATTTGTTGCATTCCCTATTGACACAACTTATTGTAAATGACTTGAAAAATAAAAGAATAATTTTATAATGAATTTATAATTCATCAAGAATAATTAACTGAATAATAGTGATAATCAAGACTGTACACTCTGCAATATTTATTAGAGTCTGAATGAAATTTACAAGACTAAGACCAAAACTTGAGTATATAAGCCCATACTTTCAAGTCATTCTAATACATTTATTTTCCTAGTCCACAATAGCTCAGTCATTAGAGGTTCTACCCGGCTTAGTCTTTTCCACAAAATGAAATTAAACGAAACCCTAACCCTAACTTGCATTTTTTTTTCATTGGCCTAATAATATCTGAGAAAATTTCACACTGTGAAACACAAAATGAATAGCGCCATCAGTGTTCAACAATTCCAAAATAGCTGTCACGTCATGTCAGCACAAATGAATCAAGCTGTAAAGTAGGCAGAAAAGAGGTGGAAATGTGGCGATGTTTGAAGTCGTTCAAAGATGTAATAGATTACAAAATGGGTCACATGACCAAATGTTTTTCAGAAAAATCAATGAATTTAAACCTAAAGAATATTTGAAGTACAAAAAAGCATTTTATTTGGATTAAAATGTCTTACCTCTTTCTCAAATTCTTCTCCTTGGCAGACTTCTCTTGGATATCCATCAATAATGAATCCATTTGCAGTGTCAATCTTGGCTGACATAGCTTCTTTTAATAGTTCAAATACTACAGACTACAGAATAAAAACCCAATGAGTTAGGGAGTTAATCCATTCTACAATCATTTGATGTCTAATTGTCAATGTAGACATAGAGATTACTCACTGTTGGTACAAGTACACCTTTCTCCATTATTTCAGTTAGCTGAGCTCCCCTATCAGTTCCAGACAAGACCTCAGCTCTAAGTAGATCACCAACTGATATATGTGTGAATCCATACTTGGCAATCATCTTCTCACATTGAGTACCTTTACCACTTCCAGGACCCCCTAGTTAATGAATAATAGCATTTATGTCAGGGGCTCCAATTGTAACATGTAACTGAGACATAGGTCCTCTTAGTGAACCTAGCAGATCAAAATATAAGTTTTTTTCCATAAAGCTACCTAGCAGATCAAAGTAAGTAATTTTTTTATAGCACCACCTAGCAGATCAAAGTAAGTTACTTTTTATAGGGCCACCTAGCAGATCAAAGTGAGTTACCTTTCATAGAACCACCTAGCAGAGCAAAGTAAGCTACTTTTATAGGGCCACCTAGCAGATCAAAGTAAGTTACTTTTTACAGGGCCACCGAGCAGATAAAAGTAAGTTACTTTTTATAGGGCCACCGGCCACCAATATATTTAGGCCTGTAATTATGATTGTTATTTATAATAAAATAAACAGATTTCATAGAAAACCAGTCTATGTATGTAAGTACATTGTACTTGACAAATAAACAATGTGCAAAAATTAAAAAAAATATATATATATTTCTGCTAAAACCCATGAATTATATTTTTGGTTTGCTGAGTGTACTGTCCCTAAACAAACCATGAATATGTACACAATAAAGCATTCTACATATGAGCTATTTGTATATTGTCAAGTGAATCAGAAAGGTGGAAGTTTTGTTAGTAGTACCGTAATGTCCAAAAAAAAAAAAAAAAGCCATGCATGGCACAGTCCCCGTTATTTATCAAATTTAAGAAATATAGTTTTGTTTATAGTAATATAGCTGGAATATAACCATGTCAGGAATATGATTTTTTAACATTAAAATGATTGACATTTGTATCTGATCGTCAAACAAGTACTTGTCCATATTGAGAGATATTGCTCTGGAACAGCATTCAAAATCTTGAAATACATGTATGTAATTTTGAATACATGTATATATATAACATGATGTATAACGAATAAATATAAAATTTAAATATAATAAGTCAAAGCATTTAAGAGATATGGC